TAATTAACTTCAATTTATTAGTTCCGTGATGTGTAATTAATTAGTGGACATACAATTATTCATTATTATATGGCCTGGTGTCTTTACTAGATTATCATTGGCTAGATTATATATAACACTAAGAGCAGCCACATTGGGGGTTCACCCATGGGGTTCACCCCCTTCCCAAGAAAAAAAAAGAATATAAAATTCTTATTTCTGTGAACTCGTATCTTCAAGGTTCAGTAGGATGAACCTGGTTCATCACTATTTCGCGGGCCCCACGCCACGTGGCGGCCCGCTATAGATTACTTTAATTTTTTTTTTTTAAAAAAAAAAAGTCAAACGAAAAAAAATAAAAAAAAAATAAAAAATTCAGTTGTGAACCCCAACCATGGGGTTCACTAATGCTGATGCTCTAATACTTTTTTTTGGTCAATATAACACTAATACTTAAATTTATCTATCTATACTATTATTTGAGAATTAAATTTAATTATTTACTTCTCCATAATTTTAGCTAATTTTGTTTGTGTCATATTTTTATGATTTTGATTTTTGATTAATGAGTTATCCATGTATAATTTTAAAGTGTAATTTGAACTTTATTTTGTTTATTTGTCATGTTTTTCATGATTTTAGATAATTTTACTTATTTTCATATTATTTTAATTTTGATTTTGATTAACGAGACATCAATTTAAATGGGGACTATTATTTGAACTTTATTAAATCAGTGGAAATAAGAATTATGATAGAATTCTAAATATTTTACTTGATTCAATCTTTAATATAATAAATATTTTCAGTTTTACTATTTTCTGACTTATTATTTCAAACTTACTATTTTCTGAATTTGATATAAATACTAGATACATATCACAACTCATATATTGCAATTTTTATTTTTAATTTTATCTTTTTCATATTTATGATATGCATGTGTTAAATGATTATAATAAATAAAAAAAGTTTAATGTTATTCTTCCATTATCAAGCTATCACAAGTTTTTTATCCATTTTATCAACAAATTTAATTTTTCAAAATTATTATAATTTTTAAATATATACAGAACTTACTTATCGCAAGTATTATTTAAATAATATTATTTTAAAATATTGCGGAAATTCATCTAATTTATGCTCAATTTTCAAATTTCTACTGTACCATACCTTCATACTTATTCACACTCATTACACACATCATTTAACATCTATAATTCAAAAATGATGACAAATAGTAGGTTAATAATTAATACAAGACATGTATATAGACTTCATATCTATAATTAGTCAAATTGTTGGTATAAATTTAAATTCATCTTTTGGCTTCAAATTCAAAATCTCTTTTAGATTATGATTGGTAACATTATATAGGCTAAGAGCATCATCATCGC